AGCAGCTGAAAGTGTCCCAAAGCTATTCCAAAAACCATGACAGTGGGGGGGTGATCTTTGCCAGCATTGTGAACTTCAGTGAGTTCTACGAGGAGAATTACGAAGGAGGCAAGGAATGTTACCGCGTCCTGAATGAACTGATCGGAGATTTTGATGAGCTGCTAAGCAAGTCCGATTACAACAATATTGAGAAAATCAAAACCATCGGGGCCACCTACATGGCTGCCTCTGGGCTGAATGCTTCCCAGTGCCAGGACAGCAGTAACCCTCATGCGCATCTGCAGACGCTCTTTGAATTTGCCAAAGAAATGATGCGTGTGGTGGATGACTTTAACAACAACATGCTGTGGTTCAATTTTAAGCTGAGGATCGGCTTTAACCACGGCCCCCTGACAGCTGGGGTCATCGGCACCACCAAGCTCTTGTACGACATCTGGGGGGACACTGTGAACATAGCAAGCAGGATGGACACCACGGGAGTTGAGTGCCGGATCCAGGTGAGCGAGGAGAGCTACCGCATTCTTCACAAAATGGGCTATGATTTTGATTATCGTGGGACAGTCAATGTGAAGGGCAAAGGCCAAATGAAGACTTTCCTCTATCCCAAATGCATGGACAGTGGGGTGGTGCCCCACCATCAGCTGTCTATCTCTCCAGACATTCGGGTTCAAGTGGATGGCAGCATTGGGCGATCTCCAACTGATGAGATCACCAACTTGGTGCCTTCTGTACAGAACTTGGACAAGATGCTCCCTGACACAGAGCTCAAAGATTTGCTTCCCCGCTTCAAGAAGTTTCCCAAAGAATTGATTAAATTAGACAGTCGCCCTCAGTTTGGTGCAGCAGGTGAGAAAGGTGATGGTGAGGAGGCTGGGCCAGAGGAGGCCAACGAACTGACCAAGCTGAACAGCTCCCGGAGCGTGTGATGCCCTTCGATTCTTCTCTGTGAGAAATCTGAGCTCTCTCCATCCAGCCTTTTCTCTTGCACGGAGGGGTGACAGGAAGTGGCACAGCTTGGCTCAGTTGCTTGGGCACCTGAATTGGAGAGGATCGTAGCCATGCCAGGCTCTGGCCTCTCTTTTTCACTTCCCTTAAAATGTTTATTTTTTTCCTGAGAGGAGACATCAAGTGCCTTCAGACAGACTCTGCTGGGCTCCTCTCTGGACTGAGGAGGAGTGGTATAGATTTGGGATTGGAACACATTTAAAGGACAAGCTGTGGTTACTTCATTTTTGCTTCTCATCAACAGCTTCCTTTGCACTTCCAAGAAGAGTGAATAAATAGGTGTGGGAGTGTGTACAGCACTCACATTTTATACTATGTAAACCCAGACAATTGCATGTTTGCCCACCTTCTGTGATCGAGACAAAGAACTGCTCAAAGGAGATACCGGGGGCCGGAAGGAATGAGAAGATTTCATTCAGAGTTCAACACTTACTAAAGAAGCAGTTGAGCTGCTGTTTGCCAAAATCAGATTCAAGTGCCATTGTGCTTTCTGGACTTGCCATTTCCCAGCAGATCAGAAGGGGGCGGGTAGTGTACAGCCCCTTTGCCCAGCCAGTCGGATGTGCTGGTGCCGCCAGTTTTGGCCTTGGCGATTCCTCCTTTTACCTTTGCCAATATAGAGGGTAGGTCGCAAGGCCTGACTTGGGCCTGCCCCGCATTATTTTCTGCTTTGGGGGCCCTGCTGGCATATTCTCACGTCAGCTTACCTGTCCACATGCAGGAGCCAACCTGTCCCTCAGCAGAAGTGGCCCCAAAGGGGATGGTAACCCATCCAGTGGGATCTGGATTAACTCATGCAGTATTTGAGTCATGGCTGTTTGTGTGTCACAAGATGTCAAAACAAATGGGAGTAAGATAAGCCCTCAGCCACGTAGCCTTTTTCTGAAGAAATGATATACTCTCCTATTCTAGTATACTCTAGTGAAATATTGGCCCACCTAAGAAAAAGAAATCCAATCATAAATCTGTAATATTTATATGCAAAGATGAATAGGGACTTATCTACTTTTTTCCCAAGCTCAGATAACCTGAAAATGCTTTCAGGGTTAGACAAACTTAGACTACTTTAAAAGTGTAAAGTCTTTTGGCACTTTTTCACCACCAGAATTGAAGCCTAAAAATGACAGAGTTCCCTCTTTTGGGGGGTCAGCTGACTCCATTATTGAATGCACCCCAAAAATTTGTGGCCCAAAGGAGCTTTTCTGCACCCCATTCTTTCTTTGAATGTACCACCACAGCTGTGCCAAACAGCACTACAGTGCACAAGCTCCTTTTCCAGCATGGGCTGAAGGCACAGCAATGCAGGCTGCCCTCCACGCTTTTCAGGGAGAAAAACTGGGAGAAAAAAAGGCAACCTTTTGTTTCTGCCTAGCGTATTGTGGTTAGATTCCTAAACACCAGGATTGGGAATTACCAACGGTATACGTGATAGGTTCTAGGAGTAGGCTGCATTCATTTGGATGCATCTTATTGCCTCCCTTCCAGTTGAGCTTCCAGAAAAATCGAGTGTCAATTTATATTCCCTATAAATAAATAATCTGAGGTCACCTTTTGAATCCTAGGTTCTGTTTTCCTTATGGTAAGTGGTTTGTGTTTAATGCCAAGCCTCAGCAGGCAGGCAGCTTCTAGAAAGAACTTTCTTTGGGTGGTGGCATTTTGCTTAAGGATCAAAAACAACCAGCAGTGCAAAGCCAGCTACAGTCCTTTGATTTCTTCCTGGGTTCTGCTCTCAGTATATGGAGGAGATTGTTGATCATCTTGGGTTTCCTGCCAGAAGGGACCTGCAGAGTTAAATTCAACTTTTTCAGATAAGAGCAGCAGCACCACCTAGATTGCTGCGGAGAGTAGCTTTTTCCCATGTCAAAAATGCAAAAGTTCTGAGTATTTATTTTACTTACTTCAGTTCCAGACACCGATGGTCTTGGAGAGGGAAAGAGCTTGGCCATTTTATGGTGCTAAGGTCTGTCGTGTTCAGTCAAAGTAACCTGAAAAGTAAATTGAGGACGGAGTTGTGCACCTCCTCTTGAAGAATGCAGCACGCTTCCTTGAAGCTTTTATCCATGGCAAACAGGGTAGCTTGCTGGCCTAAGCCATCTTGGATCCCAGAAAGCCAAAGAAATAACTGCTTCAATCAAGGTTAGTGGGGTATTCCAATCCTTTCCCTGTCAGAAAGGTCCAGAAGACAAGTTAAACAGACTTCCACAGACAGTTTTGATTCTAAAAGATGTTCACGTTGCCGCTATCTGCAGATAACTAGATGGAAAGATAACTTGGGAAAATGGAGTAACTGTTGAGCATTTCAAACATAGCAAAACAGCAACAAAAATTCTGAAAGAAGAAAGGTTGTGGGTCCATCATGGTAGTTCAGAAGTTTTGGGTAAGTGCTTTATTAAATGCATATGTAAATAGTATGTCTTCAGTACTGTGCAGTGTCCTGTATTTTTGGCTTAGAATATTCTGAGAGAACTTGATAATGCAGGCTGATAGAAGCACTGAGGAGAAGCAGCAATTTCCTGAAGGGTAGGAGGGACGGTGGGATGGCAAGAGCAGCTTGGGCTGTACTGTAAAGAGGCTTAAGGAGACATCAGGGCCCAATGTGGAAGAGAGACAGAAGACTTTTGTACAGAAGAGGACCAGGAAGGAGCTCTGCCTTGCTTTGCTGAAAGTGGAGTTTCATTAGAATTCTTGGCACTTACTGAAGCTAGATTCAGTCAAATCAAGGAAGTGTCTGTTAAGGAGTGGATCAAAACTTGCACCCTCTTCTGCAGAGATTAGTCTTTGCTTTTGACTTCCACAACAGTTTCCTCCTTTCCTGTCGTCTGGGACTTTCTGGTGCTCTCTAGTAAATCCTGGCAGGAATAAGTTTCTCCTTTTTCTGCATAGCTTGCATTTCCTACAGAGCATCTGCTAGTTCCGTAGTGTGCAGGGATCACAATGGTGCCAATGGGGCATTGTTCCCATTTTACAGAAACAATACCTCTAGAATAGGCCACAGGACTACTGACCTCTGAGAAGCTCCTGAGCATTGGAGAATTTGAGCGCTGCCCAAATATATGTTGGTTCTTCACTGCTGCTGCTCCATAGCAGGAAGGTTTGAGTGTCTGCTTTCTTAGATCTCAGAAGCAAGATACACCAGATCATCTTAATCTGGACAGGAACGTTTTATGCCTGATGGCTGGTTGGTGTCTGTTTTAGTTTTCCGGAGCTGTTCTCATCTTAGCAATAGGCCCTGGGAAATAGGAAGTGGTGCACCTCCTCTGCCTTTGTCTTAAGTTTGGGCTATGCAACACCCTTGCCTGTCCTCACAGGAATGGATCCTTTGTCACTGTTGCCTCATGTGCTGAAATGTTAAGGGAAGAGCAAGAGATAAACAATGAAAGTTGAAGCCTCTTCATTGGCTTGAAATGTGTACGTGCTCAAACCATGTGCCTACATACAATGAATTGGATTGCGGGGTACTCGGGCCAATTTATTGTGTAAACACGATATAATTTATTAACTAATCTTCAGCTGGTTTTCAGGGTACGTGAAGTTCAGTAGTGCCCTATGAAGGCATCAGGGCTGTTGGGCTTCCCTTGAGCCAGGCTTTCTGAGGGAAGGCTCCTGAGCAACTGGGCTGGCTTTTAAAATCCATTCTTTGGCATGGCCTTGACTCCTCTCAAGCCTCTCCTCTTGTGCTGGGGTGGCCCAGAGGTGCCAGGGGTTAACTGACTGGAAGCGGGGAGTGTTGCCAGATGTAGGAGCTGTAAATAGCTGCTGAGAATAGGCTTGGCTGACACCTGACAGCAAAGGTGAAATGCTGCAAGATGAATGAGGAAGAACGGTAGAAACCTTTCCTTGTTACTTAGGCAATGTAATCAACTCTCTATTAAAGTCTTTTCTGTATTGGATATGCAGGATCATTTGTTTGTTCGTACACCAGATCCAGAGAGCCACCACACACAGCCCAATGTTTACCGTCAGGTGACTGCAGTAGAAATGATGAAAAGGGTAAATAGTGTTCAAAGCCAGGAATTTATTCTTAGCACTAAGCAATCAATCTTGTCACAAAACTGGATCTTTCCAATCCTGTTCTCAACCATAATTCTTTGTTTCACCTGAGAAGTTTTAGTACTGCTATTGTTGGACATAGGGGGGAAAAATAACCCTTGCTAGGCTATAAAAATACTTTAAGCCCTGTTAGTAAAAACCACTCATAATCTCTTCCCATTCTCAGTCTACTTCAGCAACATTTAGGGACCGAGAATGATCTCATGTGATGTTGGGGAAATGCATGTCAACAAAAGCTGAGGTTCAACTTCATATTCTGCAACCTCACTCTGAGCCTAACCTGAAACCAGAGTTGCTCCTACGACGGAAAACGCCAACTAAAATGCATACTGTGTGCAAGACACCATCTCTGTTGCAAGCAGAGACGAGTTGTCTGCCAAAAAAATATTTATCTAGAAAAAATAAACTTGTGATCCTTCAAAACAGGTCCAGATCTTTTTTGGGGGGAGGGATGTATTAAGTTGTGCCCTCGTAGTTCTCTGGCATTTAGGCAATGCTTGTGAAGGCTTAGCAAAAGCTCTGCCAAGGCCAAGTTACAAAAGTTGCCATGGTAAGCGAATAGGGCTGGGCCAACTCTGTTGAAGAGACAAGGCACAGATCCTCATTCTTTGCAGGACCAGCTCTTGGACCCTGTGCTCAAGCTACAGAAATGGCAGAAACGGGACACAGTGATGGTGGCAGTAAGCCCAAAGGTCAGCTTCATAGTTTTTGTAGCGATTGGCCTGCCAGGCTTTCTTCATTTTCTTCCAAAGTCAAAGGGCAGCCTCCCTGGGCATCCTTTGTGCTAGCCAAGGGGGCTCAAGTCAATGAGGTTAATAGGCTAACGAGACAAAAAGAAATAATCTGGGTTTATGTGTACTGTGTGACAAACAGTAAAGAGTAACCACAACCATGAGAATCTGGTACTTGCGAGCAGTTGATACGCTGCAACTGGGAACATTTTAAGTAAGGCACTTGCTGTTCAAGGAGACCTAGGCCACTTTCTGCCTTCTGGCTTGGTTTCAGGAGATGCCTCCAAGGATAGAAGGCAACCTTGTAAGAAATGCCAAGAAAGGTACCAAGCTTCTCTGCTCATTCCACTTTAGAAGCGGGGCAGCCCATGGCAGTTGAGCTCCTGGGCATGGGAGTTGCAGCTGGTCTTTCTCTTAGTCACATTTGGCTGTGACCCCAGCCCTCAGCCACTTTCAGCCACTGTAGCTATTGCACAGGAAGGCCTTTGGGCTGGCCGCTGAAGGTGGCACTCCTACGGGCTTTGATGCCGTTAATTTCTAAAGTGGCTGAAATACTTTCTCTGAAACTGCAGGGAAAATACATGATGTGCATGTTAGTGAAGCACGCGCACAAGGGTAAAAGGGAGCTGTGTGCTCCTTTGTCCTTAATGGCACCCACGTTGGCCCTTCTTTTCTCCCCGCATCACCAAAGGCACCCCTAAGGCTCCCTGTGGAAGTTACAGAAAGCTCCCCTCCTCTCAAGCTTGTGAACCAGGGCTGGGCTGTTGCCTATCCTCTTTCCACATCACACATCCAAGCCTGCTCGAGTTCAGCCAAAGCCTCTTGTGAGAAGGAGAAGCAAAGAGAACTACAATCAACCTGCAGGTGACAGAAGTGCTTCTGATGGTCTCAGCAGCACCAACAGCCAGTTCATTCCCACCCAGAGTTCCCCCTCGTGATTCCGGTTGGGAACTGGGTGCCAGTGGTGCAGGCTTCTCTCTCTTCTTGGGCAGCCAATGGGCAGTAGAAGGCTGGCCACCCTGTTCTTTCCTCACTGTCTGGTTCTCCGCAATGGTCCTTTATCTTGAATGCAGGTTTTAGGACGAAGAGCTGATGGGGAGAGAAGAGAAGACTGCCCTCAGCTGTGATGTCTTTACCCATTTGAAGAAACTTCTAGCCATCGCAGGAAAGGCAACCGGACTGGCACCCCTACCCATCCCTGCTAACCAAGGCAATGAGGGTGGACCAACCTGGATCAGCAGCTCCCTGTTGCTTCTTTCGGGAAGAGGATATAAGGTGCTTTTCATTCGTCAGCCGCACCTCCTGGTCTTCCATTTGGTTGCTGTTGAGCCAAAAGGACCAAAAAGGTCATTTTTTCTGAACATTCAAGAAAGGTCATTTTTGGAGTGGAACTATCTGCATACCGTATTTCCCTACCTATTCTGCTCTCAAATGACTGCCCTCCCTTCCCAGTGTGCTGATTTGATGGGGGCTGTATACCACTGTGGCTCTTGTCTCCCCTGGGGGCACCTACACCTCTGCACCCAGATCCTCAGTGGAAATCAGGAAAAGGAATATGGAGCTAAAAGAGCAGATGGGTTTGGCACAGGAACATTCTTGAGCCAAAGTATTATCTAGCACGGAAACCTCTTAATAGAAGCTCACATCAGATCATGCTTGTCAAATTACTTACCTATGGTTTGCTTTTATCTAATTGTCAGATGAATCATATGTCAGGCAGAATGTCTTTTTATGTTACTGATGTTTATTATTACTCAGGAATTGAAAGTAAGCTGAAAATGATCACCTGCTCCCTAGAGAAAAAGTTACAAATGTACCCACACACCTAACCATGGTGCTCCTCTCCTGCCTGCAGATCTTCTCGTCCTCTGTAAAGAGGAAGGTGTGATGGGGAACGACAGGCTCACAGGTAGGAAGAATGCCAGGGACCAGGTGGCTCACCAGGTCGAGAATGCCGTTGTATACCAGTAAATCATCCACAAGGAGCTGGGTCCCAAAAAGAGGGGGTAAAAAGTTGGACGGTTTCATCATGACACAAATGAATTTGCACCTTCTGCAAGAGGCCAGAGGTGCACTGAGTTCCCAACCCAGGCAGGTGGCTTGTACCCCAAAGGACCCCCAACTGCAGGCCCCAATTTTAAGCCCTGCTGCTTCGTGTGTCCTCTCTCTCTCTTTGTCTCTCCTCTCTCTCTCTCTCTCCTGAAATAGAGGTTCAAGATGAGATAGTTTCTAAACAGGCACTTACTCCAAATTCCTTGACTCCTCGCTGTGGAGTTTTTGCATAATTCCACAGCTTGATCATGGAAATGGTAGTTGGCAAGTCAAAGATAATGTAAACTCGATTCACCTACCACCAGGAATGAAACAGAGAAGAAATTCTTTAACCAAGAGAAATAATCTCACTGAGGACTATTTTAACTCCAGTCAGAACTGTTTTGTACATGTTTGAAACTAAATCTGATTAACAGATTAAAGTTGGTCTGGGCTGTGAAACTGGATGTGGATCAGTGTTCTTCCTCCTCCCGTTAGTGAAAGAAAAATGAGGCTGTCCAGGACATCACCAGACTTGTTCTTTAACAAGTAACCAAGTGTGAGAGCGAGAGAAGACTTCTTTACTTAGAAGAAATCACATATACATACAGAAATACCAAGACAATAACGTCTGGATAATGGACATTGCAATACCTGGAAACAGTAGACTAGAAAAAAGAGAAAATCACAGAGTATAAATACCCACAAATAGAAGTAAAACAACTGCCAAAAGAAAGCAAAGATAATATCAATAATTATGATTATCTTGGGACCAATTCCAGGACATCTGGAGCACCACTTGAACACTTGGCATTAACAAAATCAATTGCAGAAGGCAGCTTGATGTGGAACAGCTGACATCCTACCTATGCTCACACCTTTAATACTTTCAAACAATATGCCAATCTCAAATTGTTGGGAAGGACTCAATAGGTGGACAAAAATGCCAAGTCCGGTCTAAACAATAGGCTGTCTATGCGACCAATCTCTTTTTCCTTGAAAGACCACCTGCTCCCAAAATCCCAAAAGAGGATATAGTATTTTTTCAAGCCCTGAAATGCTTCTTCCACAAAACCCAGAGGAAGCACCTAAATAAGGCAATTAGAGGCTCATCCATCAGCCGTTGGGGCAGCTGTTCACCTGGTCTTTTGGACAGACTGTTGGGCAGTGCCTGTGACAGAATGCAAGAGGGAACCATACCAGCCCTGGCAGAATTGGTGCAAGCCACATGTGCCTTCCGTCATTGCTGTGATTCACACCGTCAATGAGCTTGTCTGGTGTTCGAATATCTCCACAGACTCCGTCCAGGACATTGACGCTGTCAGGAAAAGCTGCAATGTCTGAAAAAGGGCATCCATCAAGGAGAGCACCTGGCCTGGATGGTCTCCCAGCCCCAATGCAATGCAAGTCCCACAGCCTCTGAGGCTTCTGCAGGAGCAAACAAAGCTTGGGGTCCTGCTTGGCTCTCCTTCAACCTGAAGAGAAGCCTTGGAAGGCAGAGGAGGGAAAACTCCAGCTGCACCATAAAAGCATCACAGCAGGAGCAGCAGGCAGCAGGCAGGCAGATCATGCTCCCCTGTTCCTACAAGAGCCCTGCTCTGGCCTGCTTTCTCTGGCTTGGCTGTGAGCTACAGGGGAAGGGAATGGTTCTGTCTACATGGCAGAAAGGATACTGTTCTGATTTAAAGGAATCTTCTCTCCGTGTTCATTATACAGCTCCAGCCCATTTAAACCAATGTAATATGGATCACTCCAACTCGTGAGTAGCTGGAACTGGAAAATGACTGATGGAGGTTATTGAGAAAATATGTCTTTGTTAAAATACTTCCGTCCGACTTTCATTCCTTGGGGACCCGCAGCAGGTGGCAAAAACCCTAAGAACAAAAGCCAGCCTTGTGGAAAACAAAGGCTTGTGATGTCTGCAGTGAGGAGTATGGCAAGGAGGGACAGCTGGGCACTGACGGGCACACCCAGGGAAGCTGGGAATCGAATGGGGCACCCCTTCTGGAGAGAGCCCCCGAGCCCCCAGTGTCACCCAGCCCAGAAGTACAACCGCCAAGGCCAAAGGCCAAAGGCCAAAGGCTCCACAAAGAAGGATACATCCACACGGCATCAGTGGTGCTTCGTACTCCATACTGCTTTGCTCCCTCTTCTTCACTTCACTCCTGTCCAGTGAGGATGGAGACTATCACAGCACTGCGAGATGCTATCATTACTAGCCACAAAACCCATTTCAAAATGACTGTTGTCATCCAGTGGAACAATCCGTTGCTCAGACTCACCCCTCACATGCTGGAGCAACTGTGGGACCCACAAGGTAGTTGATGAAGAGGATCTCTTGAGCAAAGTCAAAGTGACAGTTGCCTGGTCCTTTGCGAATAAGAAAGCCCCCCGGAGGGGAAATGCAGCAGCCGTCCAACCACACCTGGACCATCTTTGCCTAGGGAAAAGCAGAAAACCAGGAATGGCACCCACTGACGAACTGACGGAGTTAGTATCAAGAGTATTAAAAGTGAACTCCCTCACCCGCCACTCCACCTCCCAGCATGCTACCCAAAGGTTGAGCAGAGAGAAGAGGCGGGAATGGCGCAGAAAATCTTCTGCCAGGGGATCCGCCTCCTGTCTTTGTCCACCTGGGGTTTCCTGGAGGGTTCTGCCTTGGGCCTCACCCCTCGATAGGTGTCCTCAGGAGATTTGTTGTAGTTCCAGATGCGAAGCCCCGCAATATTTTCTACTTGGGTAAAATGGATGGTTACCAGGTGATCTTCTCCCGGGCAAAAGGGAATGAGCCACATGTGGTTATCTTCCATAGTGATGTTTTTTCCATCAATCAATCTAGGAAGGAAGCACAGGAACTGGTTGGGGAGGGAATTTGGATACGCACAGATTTATTGCAGAGATATATATGCCATGCCACTTGCTCTACAGTTAATAGCATTTCAGCCTCTCTTCCGTTACGATGACCTTTTAGCCGCAAACCATGGGAGCTGGGACTGTCTTTCCTGCCTGGAGGGGGTGTACCACCCTTCCTGTGCCATGGTCAGGCAGTCTCTGCTAGTTTTCAATATCAAGGTTCCTGGGAGCTGGAGATTTTATGGAGAACCATTATGGACAGCGTCATCCTGAAATATTATCAGTAGCAGCCTACATCTGCCTTATACATAAGCTTCCAGTTTCTTGAATGATGCTCACTTATCTAAGGTCCTTGAATCATCCACATACTCCACAAGATCATTGAGATCCTGAGGAGAAGCAGAAAGCTGATCCACAGAAAATGGGATTGCTTGGCCATCCTTTCCGACCACTTCAAGCCCTGTCAGTCCAAGGTAATGTGAATCTCCCCAAGAAGCGGTGAAATTCAGCAACAGGCCTGAAAGGAGACAGAAGCAGCACAGGATCAGCCTCTGAGTAGACATTAAATGTACTGCAAGGAGGAGCTGTAGCACAAAAAGGAACTAGACAGTTTTGCTCCATTCCTTCCAATGAAATGGATCCTTTATTAAAAAATGGTTGCCTTGGAGTTCTGTATTTTTAACTGTAATCCAGCCAGGGTCTATGAGGGGTTGGCAACTACAATAAATCTAAAACAATATTAATAGTAAGAATTAGAAAGCAAAGGTAGTACCAATAGTGTTAGGCACCTTGGATGCAATCCCATATGAACGCCACCAGCATTGATAAAATCACTATCAGTCAATAGCAATGGACAGCTCTACTTGGAACAGCTTACATCCTGTGACAATACCTTTAACCCCATTGAACCATATCTGTCTATCCCAGGTCCTTGGAAGGACCTGATGCTGTAGATGGACAGAAGTGCCAAATCCAGTCTAAACATCTGGCTGACTGTGCAACCAACCATAATAATTATCAGGAGGAATCCAGTATCAGAGAAAAGCAGGGCTGAGCTACCTGAGGCATATATTTGTGTGCTATGTTTTACGATTAAAAATATCAGAACAGTTAGCAATTAACAAAAACATCCAGAATGGGAAACTACAATATTTTCAATCATAGCATTCACTCAGAAAAGGGCATCGTAAACAGGAAAGTCACTCAAAGGGCACTACAATCTGCAGAGGTTTCAGAGGGAACAGCATTCCAGGATGCTGATGTCATGCCAAGTCCTGGTGGTATGAAACTTGAGGCTCTACAGTTTTTATCAAGCAACAAGATCTCCCCCCAAAACCTTAACAATTGGCCCAGCCTCTCTCTGATAGAGCACACATTGTTCCTCTGCTCTGCAAGCTGCATTGGCTGTCCATCCCAATTCAAGGTGCTGCTTTTGACCTTTAAAGCCATTAGTGGCATAGGGCTGCCAGCCCCATCAGGTCTGAGTCTCACAGGCTAAGGAATAATGTTTGGGGCGACCCAGGAGAGGGGCACCCACCCTATGGCACATTTTCCCTCTGATGTGAGTGTATATGTAGCTATTATAATCATTAGTCAATTGTTTTCCTTCTGTTAAAATATTGAACTTTTAATCAACAGCACATTGCGTGAAGAACCTGTCTACATAAAGCACCCTCCTTCAGAAGACAATGAAGATGGGAAGAGAGAACGTACATTTTCCAGAGTAGACTCCAGGTTCTCTGCTTGTCATGACCTCGGAGAGGGAATCTGACCCTGCAATTTGCTCCTCACTCTAAAAAAGTTTGGAAAATCAAGGGGCAAGTCAGAACAAAAATCAATTTCTTTTGATTGCAGTAGAAACATTCTGAGAAATATAGCAGAGTCCTTTAAAATTTAAGCAGTTGGAATAAAATATAAACATGTCAAGCAGTCAATTACAGAAAAGTATCCGAATGTCCACCAAGACCTCTAACACCGGCCCAATATCTGATTTTTTTCAACAAAGACCACCCTGTCCTTGAATGGCTGGGTGGACTGGACATTAACCTTTGAACCACTGTAAGCCCATGTATTTGCCATATGCTAAATAAATGAACAGAAAAATGTTTCAATTAAGCACCAGAGTAGGACATTTTCAAAGCCCTCTTAAAGCCACTGCAGTTGTGCCCTCATCTTAATTCCCAGAGAAAGCCCACTTTCACAACTGGGACTCTCACCAGCTTGTCTTCTGTCCTGGAACCCGCCTGAGTGAAGGGCCTCTCGTCCCCTTCTCCATCAGCTGTTCTCGGCCTCTTCAGCTCCTCCTCGTAGCTGAAGCTGCACCTGCTTTCAATTTCGTCCTCGCAGGACTCATCATAACAGTAAATGGCCTCGAGAATGTCCTCATCAGTTGTGAACAGGATGGTGTCTCCAAATTGTTCTGGACCTGAAACATTGTGAACTTTATGGTGACCATATCCACAAAATTAACCCTCTCCCTTCTTGGAAGTAAATATACAGACTCCTGCAATGAAGGAGCTAATATCCAAAAATAAAAACTATCTTAAATCTGTATGAAGATATTGCCTTGAAGTCAGAAGCCTGTTTCTGCAATAAAGAAAAAAGGCTATAAGGAAAAAGTCAGGATGTCCTAAACAAACTTGCCTGTCGGGTCTAGGACTAGTATATGCTTTGGCAGGATTTTATCAGCTTGTGGCAACTTCATTTGTTTTGACTTATATCTGGCCCTGGCTTCCTCTATGAGTGGACATAACCACAGAGCATCCAAAGTTCTTATACCAGGCAACCTTCAATACAAAAGCCAAACAATGGAATACCAGACAAACTAAACCAGAATGGCTGAACAAGATTGTTCCCCCAGCTTACTATTGGCTTTAATGAAAAGTCGTCTTGTACGATTAATAGAGGAAAGAAGAAAGGCTGGCTAGTTGGATGACCAGGGTCAAGATCTAGCAGCCATTGGCCCTCCTCCTTTGAAAAGCCAAGTTTAAAATCAGAGACAGTCTGCCCCTTACCTCCAGCAAGTGTCCCTGAAGCCTTGGCGATTTCTCCTTGGAAAATGCAGCATTCATCCAGGAGAATGGAGAGGTCCTTCACCCCCCGAAAGGAATGGATGCGAGACTTGTTGTAATTCCAGATGCGAATCATGGCTACCTCACATGGCTTTGCAAAGTCCAGGCAAACACAGTGTGATTTTCCTGGAGTGAAGGGAGCCAGCCAGAGGTGCATGTCATCCTGTGTCCGGTTCACTCCATCCAGCAGATTAGTTACTATCCGGGGGTCTTTGCCATACGCAGGCAAGACGTTGATATCAGGTGGGTTGGCAGTGATTTTTACAATCTGGATGGGCTCACCTTTTGAGCTAAACAGCTCAAGTCCATTCAGACCAACATAGTGTCTGTCTCCCCAGGTTGACCTGATATCAATTTTTAAGTGCTGACCATGAGGTAAGATGGGGATTTTAAATTCGCTCTCATCTTCTAGATCTAAGTAGCTGTTGGCCGCCTTCTGCACTGGCAGCCCCCGTGTCTGGTCCTTTATCCTGAGCTTCTGATCTTCTTGCCGGCTAATTTTCTGCTGCTGGAGAAACTCATCAAAAATGTCACCTTGGAAATCCATGTTAGAGATTCGACCACGATGCAAACGATTGAATTTCAATAATGAATTCCAAGATTCCTGCAGCATGTACTCCTGAGAAGTGCCCCACTTGGCTCTCGAGGGCCTCGTGCTGCCTTTGGCTGGGAAGAGCTCCTCTGAAAGGGAGAAATTAGTATCATGATGAGGGGGAGGCATCTTTTTTTAAAAAAACGTACAAATAAGATGTGAGCAGCAAGGAGCCTGTAATACTTTCTGAGTTCTTCAATTCAACACAATATTCAAAGAACTCAGGAAGGTCAGATTCTGCTCAAAATGTGGGTAACCAGACAATCCCTAGATTTTGACTGGTGGACATCAGCTCTTACCTTTGTCAAGGGAAGCTTTCTCTGTGTAGAAGGGGTGGCTGAATTCTTCCTGCTCTCTGTCTTTCAGATCTTGATCAGGGCGAAGTAACTCAGTTGGACCACCGTGTTTATAAAGAAGTGGTTTCAAGAAATCCAGGTCAGGAATGGACTCCTGGTTCTCGTCTGAGGGTCTCTTGCCTGCCTCTGGGGCCTCACTGCTGGTTTGCTGTTCCTCAGTTGGAGAGAGATGGGGACTCCCATCAGGTGTTCTTAGACAGCCTCTCTTGATGCTCTCTGAAGGCAGCTGGACTTGTAATCCCAAAGGAGGCGGTTTTTGCTTTCCACAGCTAAGCTGCATCTCCCCCTTTGCCTCAGGAGAAGTCAGAATATCAGGGGAAGTCAAAGTGGCTGATTGAGAATATTCTTCCGTTTTCTCACTCAGGGAACTGTCATCCTCAGGGGAGACACACCTTGCAGTCTCCCACGAGATGAGGCTGCTGATCTTTGGGTTGGGTTGCAGATCAGAATCACCAGTTCCCTCTTTTTCCTCAAGGCAGTTTTCTTTTATAGAAGGCTTCCAATCGAACAGCAGCAGCTTGTCAAGCTCCTCTCTTGGATCTGCAGAAGCCCAATTCTTGTCTATCTTTCCCTTTGGAGGAAGGGGAAGGTCCGTTGGGAGATCAATGGAGGTGCAGCCATTGCCATCAGGATCATGAGCCAAGCAGCCCTTCTGCAGCTCCCCAGCAAAGATTAGACACCCATCAACATATACAATAATATTTCTGGCTCCAATATTCAGATCCTGGTGAGACAAAGAAAGATGTCCTGATGGGCAAGCAAAAGCCAACCTTCCTGAAAACCTCCAGATCTAATGCACATGTTTCTAACTGATAGAAAACTGAAAAGGCCCCTGCTGAGATCTGAGATCTCAATATGCAGAGGACTTGGGTCAAGTGTTCAGCTGGCTCTGAGTTTGGGATGGGTCCTGGAAGACTGGGCAGCATAGTTAAGTCTCCTTATAGCCTTCTGCAGTGGGGCAACCTTCCTGTTTCCCCTGTTGTCACCCAAAGCTGCTCATCCAAGTGCTTTGCTCAGAAAAGGAGAATGACAGAAAAAAGTAAAAGGGTGGACCCATCCACTTTTGGCTCTGCCCTGGCTGGCACGGATCACTCTGAACAGGAACAAGGTGATTTGTTTTGGGGGTTGCATGTAAGAATCAGCCTCAACCTGACTAGCATAGCCTTTGCTCCTAATATGACTGAGCAGGGAATCCTCTTTGGGTTGAATATAGTTTAGGATGGCACGCTAGACTGTGCTTGGTGACAGATGGTTGGATTTCCCCCACAAAGCATTTCATTTTGGTTGAGGAAATGACTTCCCTCCCTTTTTTGGTGTTCCATTGACCTTCCCTGAGTTTCTGGAGAACAGGGCCTCCCACTCCCTGCCCAAGAGAAGATCTCTCTGGAGTCATCAGCCCCAAAGAGGCAAGACTGAGCTCAAGAAGTCAAATGGGGTGCTTCTAATTCAGATGCCATTTGAAAACCTTGGAAGGCTACATGACAATTCCATGAGTAGATTGCTTGATGCAAAGGTGTACACACAAGGACAAAAATGCATAGCTGAGAACAAGTCATAAAGGATCAGGATTTGCTGCTCTCTAATACAGCTCGTTAAATCCTCTTTGCCACACTAGCTGGAGCCAAAGCAAGCAAAGCCGCTCTCTCTACAGAATATCTCAGACTCAGGGCAGCAGAACTTGGATTTGGTTATTTTCGTAAAGTAACCCTGTTCCCTCCACCAATAGGCACGGCATGAACAGTGGCACTCTTGGGCTGGCTGGAGTTCCCAAACAGAAAGGGAAGCCTTCCAAAAGAGCTGCGGGGCGGGGAGGGGGGGGGCCTCAGTGGCCTCTGGATGCAGGCTGGCAGGAGGGCGGCACCTTCATACAAAAACATTCCGTTGCCAAACATTTCCACCAGCAACGTACCATTTCAACCTTATTTAAAAAATAGATTTATTTTAACCTAATGTTAGAATTAACTCAAATAAAAGTTAACGCAGTTGTGGCTGCTTTGCCCCTCTCCCTTTTCCTTCCCCTGTTAGCTCCTACTAGGTATGAAAAAGCAAAGCTCTGACATAAGAGACTAGAGCGGTCACTTACACCACGAACGGTCGAGCTGTAATTCCAGATCCTGATTCTGGATAGGCCAAAGTCTCCTGAGAGGCTGGGGTTTCGGACAATGAAGTACAGCTGCACCGGAGGCTGGAAGAGGCATGACCAGGGGAGAAGCTCTCTGGGAACCTACAACACAAGGAAGCTGATGGTTGGCCCGTCACCCCGGAGCAAAGCACAGCAGTGGCTTTGGGACTCCAGAAAGAAGCCAGCAAGAGGAAAAGCTGTGTGCTCCTTCTGGCTTGCTCTGTCACTGAGCAAGCAGAGTCTGCTTGAAAGTGTGAGGCCAGTTCCAAGGCTGACCTGCTCAGCCTAATCCGCTTTAGTGCTAGTAAGAATGCCAAGGGGCTCCCGGTGAGGATTAGCAGGGGCTAGCATTTCTTATCATCTCCTTTCTCCTAGGAAGGAATCAGTTAGCCTAGTCTCACCACAGTAAAACATGACAGTTCAAAATTTTATTATACCTTTTTATCATACAATTACAACTCTGTAAGTGAGAAGATACGTTGTTTCTGTCTCTCTCTATTTAGTGCAGTTCTTATGCTCGTTATTAAAACTGACTGCTGAGCTGTCAGCTGCTGTGCAGGCCCTGGAACTTGACTGAGGTAAATGGAGTAGGCTTGTTCTTTGCAACAGCTAGCAAAGCTTTAGTTCCAAAGCAACCATGGCCATCACAGCCCTGATCCACTACCTGAGCAGAAGAAACAATGCCCGACATCCCACCAAGGGGTGGAAAGCTGTGCAAGAACCCAGGAACACTTTTGTATAGCTCCAACTTGGACGCTTAGCTGTTTTAGAAATAAACTATCTCTGGGGCAGATTCACTTGGTTGAGATGGATGGCCATAGAAATTAAATAAATAAACCTGTGTGCAAAATTTTGTCTGCCGTTCCTTGAAAAGCAACCATGGGAAGCTTACATTTGTGCTTCGGTTAACTAAGCAGCTCAGCTCTCCAGGTGGATCCGCATGTCGGATGTCCACATCGTGAGGAGACACAAATACTCTCTCAAAATTCAAATCAAAGAACTCCACTTCTGTCAGACCCACACGGGACACGTCTCCCCAGTTGGAGAGGATCTCTAGAGTAATATAGATGGCATCCTGGACCTCCGTTTCCAATCCCACATGGCCCTGAAAAGAAAAATTTGGGACGTCACTGGAGACCCTGATCTCAAACTGACCTGAACATGACATTAATGACAGTGCCCAAGAGACCCGGAGGGGCCCAGATGGCTCCTGTCTGGCTTCCTGGAAGGGGGATGAGCCCATGGCTCAAGCAAACCTTCCCCTTCGGTCCAACACCAGGCATGGAGCATCAGCATTCCAAGCCCACATTTCTGCTCTCATAGTCTACACATGATGTGCTGGAAGGCGCTTTTTTCAGAAGAAAGCTGCCTGGCATTCACATTCTCTTCAGGACCATCCAACCCATTCTGATTGTTGCTAAGTAACCCAATTGGAATGAAGATGAGGAAACTGCTGTTCAAAAATTTGACTTGCTTCCTACCGGAACAGGAAGCTGTAGCTGTCCAAAGCCCAAAGCTGCAGGGCCACGGCAGACGGACAAAGTCTCGGTCTTTTGGAGAGCTTTGAGAAGTTTCTTTTGTTGCCTAAACATTGAAGAGATCACAGGCAAACAAGCAGCAAATCAGTGCTTTTTTCTTTGGACCCAGAAGGGCCATTGATTTGAACTCATTCAGATGCTCGGAAGCTCTCAAGACAAGGATGTGAAGGAGGAGGGTGAGGATTAGGTAGCAGTGCTGGGAACAATTCAGCCCTGCTTGTTAAATGGCTCAAGCCTTAATGGACCATCAGCAACTTGAGCAAATATGTCCCCGTTAGTTTTTTGATCAAGAATACTGGTGCAAGTTTGCAAAATACTGAATGTTATAAACCAAGAACCAGAAAGCTGAAATTCTGTTCCTTGTATTGCTCAGAGCACAAGGTTCACCCTTCATTATGGAAATATTGACATTGTCTCGAATTTTTATAAAGCTCAGTCTCCGAATCACCTTTTGCTCTCCCATGCCCCAGCCTCCACAGACACCCTTTGCAGATGAAGATACTTGCGGTCATCTTGCCTTCCGGATGCCCTAGTAATCAGAGGCAGTGGAGAGCAGGACTAGCAAAGGAGCCCATTAGACACCTCCATGCAGAGATACACTCAACTTGTACCTAGGAACAGACTCAAAGGATTCAAAACTGCCACCTGTTTTCCAGAAGTCCAATCTGTTCCAGAGCTGTGGAGACAACTACATCCTCCTGCTGTTTTGGAGGAAGGCCCACTGTTGCAGAACCGGAAGCCAGCAGTGACTGTACAGAAGGGAAATAAGAACAAACTCACAAGACAGCTTCAGTCTCCAGGCAATGGAGCTGGGGATTGGTCTGAATTGGGAGGTCAGGCTATGTGCAAAACTTCCACACCCTATTCAAGCAATCAACGTGCCTCACCAAAGACTCTTGGCAGAGAATATTTTACCTGTCTTTCATTTCACTAACCACAATTAGCAGCTAGATGATTCTAGACAGCGATTCTACAAATACCAGCATGGCAATTTTTAGTAAGATTCTGCCATGGCCACACAAGAATTGATTGCTTGTACATACAGGAGCTTCCTTTTCAGGAATGGAAAACACGAGGGACTTCTCTTCTTTGAAAGTTACTAAACCACTGCCTTCCTGTCACTAACAGCTTCTAAAAAATGTGACTGAAGTAAAACCAGCAAGTAAGTGAATGGGTATTCTGTTATTTAAGAGAGATTTCTCTGGTTTCGATCCTTACAGATCAAGTTTCCACTGGTCAAAACATTAAATAATAGACTACAAAAAGGAGACAGGAGAACTCTTCTTAAGAAAACTAGTCTCTATTTCATTGTCTGCAAAAAAGAAAAAAATTCTAGGAAGCCAAGGAAAATAAAACCTTTGTTTAACATTGCACAGAGCACACCGTCCATTTCAAGGCAAATGGTTGCAAAGCAACATTTTGGAAGAACATCCTGATCCTGTCAAATCCCTCTGTACAGTGGCCAAATTGTCAGCTTCCATGGCAGAGGCCAGGTGGAGCAAGGAAATCCAGCCACCTGCTGTGGCTGACTTTGAATGAGACAGGTCCCCCGTGCCACTCACCTCTGCAGAAACCTCCAGTTGCCTACAGAGCACCTCCTTTTGTAGCGTCTCATTTTCTGCTTGCATAGCTTTGAGGACAATGGAAGCAGCATGTGCTGGATCCTTCTTCTCGCACACATTTTTGCGAACAGCTGAGAGTGGTCTTTCTGATCGGCTTATTGGTCCTGACATTCAAAAGAAGCAGAAAATAATTTTTGACCCTTTAGAGGGAAGCAAGTTGGGCCTCAAACATCCCCATGCTAAGATTCTTGAGTCACAGAATGGAAACTCCTAGACAGTATAGAAACTAACAAGAGCAAAACTTAGTGGCAGCCCAAACGTATGTCAGAGGAAAAATGCAGTCTTCTGGAAAGGAGTGGGTACCTGGTTCCAGCCAAGACTAACAAGACCCCACCAAGCGAAAAGGTGTGGCAACTGACGATCATACAATAAGCAAGATCTGATGATTCTGGGCAACAATATTTCAAGAGCAGCAGCAGAATTATGGTGGAGAATGTTAAGTGTTCAACAAGCTGTAGTGGACAATTGTAGAAAGATTGAATGTGGGAACATTACTAAAGGAGCATTTAAGGTGATGTGAAAAACAGAATGAATAAGAAATATTTCAGTGATGTTGATGCTGAACTATGTTTATGCACCAAGAAAAATAAGGAGAGTGACAGGCAAACGAATGGAAGAAACAGCAGAAGTTAAAATGCTAATTAACAGGAAGAAAATTGAGTAAAGTGGAACATTTGGCTGGCCAAAGGCAGATTCTCAAACTAATGTTCCTAAACGCAGCTACCATCCTGAGGGCTGGCATCGACATCTAAGAAACCTGCCATCCCAATCCAGAGAATTACACTGGGCACAATCCTCTCCTTCTCTCCAGGTGTTTTCCTAACCAAGGCGGTCTCCAGGGGCAGCCAGCATCAGAAAACTAATATGTCAACACCCAGAATTATTCTGAGCATGGGCTTGTTCAGAGAAATGACAGGCACATTTCTGCTGCCCTTTCACCACTGTGGCTTCTGTATGCCTGTCAAGCTCTTAAGGGAGGCACTTAGAAACAAACTCTCTCTTACTGGAGGCGTTTCCTTCCTGTTCTTCCAGGTACCAACGACCTGCAGCTGCCGGACTCATGGGCTTGATGGGCATGTAGGTTTCAGCAGTGCCCTTCCTTTTTGCAGAGAGACTTTGCTCCTTCTTAACACCTGCAGAAAGAGCAGACACCAGAACCAGGAACTTATTCTGAAGGTATCCAGCACAGCCTTCACAGCATATTTTAGACCGGGGACTGTCTTTAAATGCAACTGAGCAAAAGATAAGGAAAGCACCATCTCAAGAATTAAGAGACTCAAAGACCATCTCTGTCCTCGTTTACCAAGCACATAAAGGACCCTTTCTTTTGAGGATTGCTTCAAGGCCAAGCCAGCCAATCACTCTTTGATTCTGAAGATAAAAAACAATCAGCGCAGTATTGGATTTATCCAGCAAATTTTTAAAATACTTTTTAGTGAAGATTTATTAACAATGGTAAAAGACAATATACCCTAAGCTCGCTCACTCTCAAAAAAAGAAAGAATAAACAAAGGGAGAATAAAAAGTGTAAAGGACACAAGAACAAATAAGGAGAAAAATACTTAAAGAAGTGACTTCTAATCGTCATCACAAAGAGGACTAAGTTAGTAATTCTCCACCCCGTTATAAGTGAAAACCTACCTGGGCAGGTTGGCTTGAACTCCAACACAAGAGGCTCAGCGGCCGGAGCAGAGCCTGCGCCAGGCAGAGGGGAGAGCACTGCTTTGGCAAGGAGCGGCTCAGCGGCCCCTCCCAGACATTCAGTGGGTTCTTTCTCCTCAGGGACTTCAGTGGGAACCTCCTCCTCAATGGAGTCAGAATCCTCGGAACATTCCCCTTTCACCTTGTTTTGGCTCTTGCCAAACTCCAAGCTTTGCCGGAGTTCCTAGCACAAAGAGAAGGAGCTCAAACGTCATATAACGGCTTGGCAGATTTCAGCTCCAACATCTCCAGATATTACTGAAGGAAAACTTAGGAGGGCCAATGTCAATCAATGCAGATGTAGACAACTCAAATTATTTTGTCTTAACTTCTTTGAACAGGATTTCTTCTGCTCTGAAGAAAACATCTGATTTAAAATAAAATCTGGATTTAAATATAAATGAATGAAATTTGCATTGATAGTTACTTCAAACTTAATAATTGCCTATTATCAAATGAACTGAGAAAAACACACAGATATCAAATAGTTTGGTTGCAATCTCATGTATAAAAAATTAAAAGGAGAAACAATACAAAATCTTGTGATGAGGACAGCTGTAAAGAGGTAGCTTTCTTACTTTGAAATATTAGAACCCAAAAACTTCTTATGCCCTCACTTAACTATAGCTAAGATACAGGAGATGTGACAATGGCTGCCAACTAGAACAGGACAGGGAGGCTGCTTAAGGTTGTTATCCGTGATGGCTACTTAAACCCACCCAGATGAAAATCTGAATGCCAATTGTTGGGCTGGAGAGCCAGATGCTTGAGAAAATATGCCTTTGATCTGACCTGCAAGATTCCCTTGATATCCTGCTCTCTCTTTCTGGCATGGCTTTGAAAGCAACGAGAAGCAAGGCTATTTTGCCCAAGATTATTTTCTAGGAGGAAGGAAATAATGCTTCCAAATGCCTGTGCTGATGATTCATCTTTAATAAATAGCAGATTTGAGCCAACAGATCTATTTACCTGGAAAGTACCATTCTCTTCACAGCCAGTTGTCTGAAGATCTAAACTTTCCTCAGATTCAAAATCCTCTGAATACTCACAAGGGGGAGCAATGCAGAGCCTAGATCCAGTTTCTGTCTTGATCTGCACGGCTTTCTGAAAAATTGAGAAAAATCAGTACACAGTATTACACTATTGCAGCCTTGAGAAATGTTGCTTTTGGAACTGTAGCCGCCACAAAACTCAGGAACCCTTATAATCAGACTTGATCCAGACTGGCTCCACAATTCTATTCTTGTTTTGGGATCATCTTTATGTCTTCCAACAGATATTTGTTCTCAGTGCTTCTCTCTTATGTCTCTGTCTATGATTGGACCTCTAACCTTAAGGGTCTTACAATATTAACAACCTGAAGAATGCTGCATGCCTGACACATCATTTATTTATATTTCATGCATGCTGCTGTAATCCAAAAAGATGCCAGGCTGGGAACTCTAGTGCTCCCTTCTCTTTTTTATACCTGGAGCCATTCCCGACGTTGGATTTTACTAGGTGCACTTTGGGTGCTCCTCTCTCGCTGTTCTTCTTGTTTTAACAGGTCTTTGGTACTCACAGCTGAAAGGAAATGGGAAGCAGTATGAGTAAACGGATCAAAGTCCAGACACCCTGCATAGCGGAGGAATTTAGTTTATTTATTAGCATGATTTCTATGCTGCCCCAATTAGAGACTCTGGTCAATAAACCATTTTCGAGTTGCCAGGATGGGTCCTTTGAACTTCAGCGTAGACCTTTGGGACTGTATGGCTCATATGCTGCACTACATTATCAGAGTTATATAGTAGCTCAATGACAGCAATTATTCTGCTGCTGCTGCTTCCTCTCACCTCCTAAGCCGTCTTCCAAGCAGGGGAGCTGTGAAAGCTGTCACAGAGGGAAAAAAGCCTCGGTCTGACAGCTTATGTCAACTTTCACAATTCACACAGCTGGTATCACTACCAGGAAACTCATGACTGAAAATGGAAACTGAAACAAGTTAAGGAAAGGGATTTACTGAAAGCGAAGAAAAAAAGTTCATGGCTTATGTCGGCCCTTCCATACTTAATTAAAATCCTCTGCGCTCAAAAAAATTAGACGTTTTCTCAGATCGGATGCTACGTGTCAAATTTCTTATTTACTGTTTAAAACTTCTACTTTTCATGTTCGAAAAATCCCAGACTGAGGAACCTCAACCAGAGCCGACGCTGATCTCTGGGTGAGCTTCTCCCCTTCGGTGGAGCCTCCGGATGGTCGCGACCGGCAAGGAACTCACGGTTCGCTCTGGGGGTTCGCGCGCCGCCGCTCCCGAGAAGGGCCGGAGGGCTGACTTTGCGGCCGCGGCTCGCCTCCGAGTTGGCACCGTTCACGTACAAAGTGAAGCCCTGCTCCAGCTGCTTCAGCCGGAGCTGCAGAGGGTCCTTCCTCTCCAGGGCCTTCAGGATCCTGGAACCGAAAACACGGGCTGTTCCTGGCGGCGGGCGGGCGGGCGCCCCGGCCCACCCCGGCCCTCCCGCAGGCAGGTGGCCCACCTGTTTCTCTGCTGCAGCAGCACCAAGTGCTCGTCGTGCTTCTCGTCGAAGTCGGTCACCATGGCCTCGGGTTACGCGCGCCTGAAAAGCGAAGCCTGAGGAGCGCCTTCCGAACCCCGTCAGCTACCTCGAGGCCTGATCCCTGCGGTCTTCCGGCGACACAGGCAGCTGGGTGGCCGAGTCCGCGAGAACACCCTCCCGTCCCCAACCGGGCCGCCGGGCCCAGCCAGGCGCGCCGAAGCTGCCCCAGCGCCAGGCCCGCCGCCGCCTGTTGAGCCGTTGCCTTGGTTACCGCGGTGGTTCGGGCGTCGTGCGCCGAGGCGTCACTTCCTGCGCGCCGCCGCTCATCGGGCGTCCGGCAGCCATGGAGGCGCTGTGGGCTGCGCTGGACGAGGTGGCCCTGGAGGGGCTGGACGGCGTCACCCCCGGCGCGCTCTGGGACCGGCTGGCGGGCCGCGTCCCGCCCTTCCCGCTACCCCTGGAGCCGGGCGCCCGGCAGCTGCTGTGGGCCACGCTGGCTGCGCAGGCCGAGCTCCGCTTCCATCTGCTGCCCCAGCCGCGCCCGCCGCTGCGCCTCTTCGACCGGTGAGGCCTGGCCGGAGGGCCGGCGGGGGGGGGCGATTGCGGACGCCGCAGTTGGCTCAGCCGGGGTGGGGGTCGCGGTGCTGAGCGTTCCGGCTTTCCCTTTCCTCCAACGGACTGGGGGGAGTCGCGGGTCGGAGCAGTTTGCCCAAAAAGGTTTTGTTCGTTTCCAGATATGAGGAAATCGATCTTGAGACGGGAATTCTGGAGACCAAGCGGGATCCCGTTCCATTAAGCGACATTTACCCGGTTCATATGATTTTGGACGAGGACGTCCAGGGCTCCTGCCAGTATTTGAAAGAGAGGCTGGACATTACTGATCGGATCCGGACCAAAGACATGCAGCCCTGCTGCACCTACGTGGAGGCTTATGAGAAGTGAGTGAGTTTTAATTGGTGCGGCCCTCTGCTTTTTAATACCCACGTGCACTTGAATTGCCTGTCCCGTTTAGAAGTAAACCGTGCCCCGATCAAGGAGCGCCAAACAATCTAACAGTAAACAGCCCAACCAAGGTATCACCAAAACCATTCCCAGCAAAGTTTGAAAGGGCAAGCCACTAAAATATAAAAGGTGGACAAACTGCTCTTCCTGCTAGAACTAATGTTACCTAGTTTGGGCAATGAAATGTCTGTAAGAAAAGAACCCAGCTCAAAAAGCACCAAGGAGCCCACATTTATCTCTGGAGGGAGCTTATTCCAAAGGGCAGGAATAACTGGATGCCACCAAATTGTATTCTTTTAATGTACGGAACATGACGTACATTAAACGTGAACATGACGTTCTCATTCATGAGAACATGACGTACTCAGCTGGATTGAATTGGACAGGCATAGGCAAATGAAGAGAAGTAATTCTTCAGGTAGCCATGGGGGGCTTTAAAGGTGTGGTCACCAGAAGAAAAATAACAGTTGCCCATTAATCGATGGGCTGTGGGAGAAATTGCTATTGCTTTGTGCACTTCTGGCTGACATGATCTACCTACAATTTAGTTAGCTGACAACAATATTGCTGGAGCACAGAAAGTGCTGTCTTTCTTTTGGGGATTCTTAAAGTGACTCTTCTTTTTACTTTGCAGTTGGGGAGAAAGGCTGGTCCTTGTTGCCTCGCAGGTACTGCGCCATAGGGCACTAATAGGTTGGGAAGGGGATCCAGACTTAAAGCTTCCTGACTTTTCCTACTGCATTTTGGAGCGATTAGGACGAGCTCGCTGGCAAGGAGAGCTCCAAAAAGACCTCAGTGTGGCTTTTAAGTAAGTTGTAAGTATTGGCTTATGTAATAATGCCAGAAAGGAAGGTGCACAGATACTCCCACAGATAACAACTTGGTTTGCTACTGACATATTTTATAAGCTAATTATGACTGCAACTTCTCTGTTAGCCAGGAGGATGCATCCCTTCAGAGGGAAGCATAAAATACTGCTATAACAATGGGAGAACGTTATCCCAGAGAATTTCTTTGCACTGAGCCAAGCTTCAGTTTCATTGTAGGTACAAAACCTTTGAGGCAAGGGACCATTACCTTTGTTGGCTTAGCAATTATCACCTTAAGATTTAGGCTCATTTAAGAAATTTAGTTGATGCAGAAATGTAGGTTCTTGTTTGCCTTCTCGTTTTTTGTTAAAAAGGAGAAGCGGGGGGGGGGGGGGTGTTAGCTGTTGTGCCATCTGTATGTTCCAAACATGATGGAGGCTAATCTTTTATAGGGTGGATGCTGGAAAGCTTCACTATCATCGAAAAGTCCTGATCCAAAATGGGCTGATCTCAATGCAGTCCCATGTGATTAGGTTGCCCTCAGGGATCCAACAGCACTCCATTCTTCTGCTGCTCAGCCGCTTTCATATTGACAGGTATGCGCTTGGCAAGTTCACACTTGAGCTTTCATTTGTGCTCCTTTCAAGCGGTTGAGCATGTTTGAAAGCCCCAAATGTCACTATTCCCACTCTGTCTCTAATCATATCAGGTTTTATCACTTTTGGTTTGCTTTTTTGATCTGAGTTTTCTTTTCTTCTGCATTTTGGAGACAGGGGACTAATCTCTGCCTCTGATGACTAACTGATTGCCTAAGAGAGATACTTCAAGAAAGAGAAGGCCTCTTTCATTACAGAAATTTGTTCATTGGGGTCTCAGAAATTAGCAGAGGGCCAGGAGTCTTGGTAGCTGTCAGTTTTTGCAAGGTGTGAGTTTCCTTATGAGGGTAGACAAGACAGTGGCACTATAGCATTTGTTCATTGTTGCATCTTGGGTTTTAGGAGGAGCAAATATGATATTCTTATGGAGAAGCTCTCTGGCATGCTGAGCAGCCGGCCAGGTCAGATGGAAACACTGGGCAACATAAAGGAAGAGCTGGTAAGATTGAGGGCTTTTGAAGTCAAAGACTGCATGTCAGTGCTTGGATATCTGTTGGCAGCATCTGCCCCCTCAATGGGCAGAATCTTCAGACCTGGCACCTGTTCTTCAGAGTGTCACAAGCATTACAAATGTCTATCTTTGAGACCACATGGACCCTGGGGATTTTCTGCAGCTGTAACAAAAGCTGAGGGGAGGTTCAGCTATAGGATCTCCAAGAGCACCCTTATTTTATTTCTGTACAGGCTCCCTGTCTGAGAATCCACATGTTTGTTTCTGCTCTTTCCGCTTTTCCCCAAAAGTCTCCTATCCTGTTGCCAAACCTTGGAAGTTATGGGCACAAAAGAATTCCAAGCCCCATTAGGGTCTAAGTGGTTGTTGAATTCTTGCTGTTGCTAGGCTCTTGGTAGCCAACTCAAACTGAAAGCAAGATTCCCATCTTTAATACAAGATAAAGAAAAAGATAAGGTTATAGGTATCCTAGCAAGTAGGTTCCTTTTATTTTACAACCCAGTATATCTTTTAGTCTATTAGAGCAGGTTTTCTGTTCTATCCGGTGAACTGGCAAACTTGCGGCTCTCTTCCTGAATAACCAAGGTGGCTGTTTTTCATGTGAACTTTCATGAATTTCTGAATAGGCAATGGTGAGAAAATGTGTGTGTGTGTGTGTGGGGGGGGGGGGGGTGGGGGGCTGTCCAGGTTTGCCGTCACTTCTTTATTGGCTCCTTCCATGTATGGATGAACTGGAGCTCATCGCTTGGGAGTATTTTCCGAGCCCTGGATGCCAATTCCACATTTTTGTTGGCACAAAGCAGGACCTTCTCAAAGCAGATGGTATCTTTGCCTCGGGAGCCAAATAGAGAATATTCTGCCTTGCTTTTCACTCAATTATTATTAATGCAGCGTTGTAATAACATACTTGGAGGGGTGTTTTAGAATAGCTGCTGGTAAATTAAAGTTACTTTCATTGGAATGGTGAGAGAGCATAAATCGGAAATATATTAGGAATGCAAAAATAGCATTAACTTTTCATCTACTTTGTTCCAAAATGCATGAATGTGGGAAAAACCATACTTTGACTGTGTCTTAAGTTAACTCATACTGAGCAGGTGGGAAAACTTGGCTAATTGGGAAAAATACACATTTGCTTCAATGCCACCCTCCTCTGGCTGCTGTACAGGGTCTGTGTGAAAAAACCTTTAAGCGCCTCTACCAGTACATGCTGAATGCCAACTTGGGCAAGATAGTCTCTGTTCCGCTGCGGGACGTGTGTTCTGACGGGAGGCCTCTCAAGACCAAGAAGGGTAAGCGAGGGGAAAGCCACTTGGAGGTCGCCCAGGAGGAAAGGGGAGCGGGGACTTGTGCTTTTCCTGAGGACTCAGATCTGCCCAGACTTTAAAGTAATCGCAGGGTTAAAAGAAGCGCATGGACAGGAGTCTCCCCGCCCCCAGTTACCTCTCTGGCATTGAACTGGCGCACTGGGGCCTTTGGGAGACGCTGAGAACGGGAGCAAGTGTGTGAGGCTGAAGCAGGACTGCCACCGCGATGCTGGTGGGGGGGCAGGACTGGGTTTCTTTGGCAGCGCCATCCAGCAAGGATTCAATTGGGCTTCAATACTGCGTCTTCGATGCCAGGATTAGGGGAGACGATGCAGACTGTCTCCAGCCATTCCATAATCCTTTTGGGTTTATTCATTCTCAGGAACTCAAGTCATGGTCCGTTGTTTAAAGCTAGTGAAGGAATATCAGAAGAAGGTGGCTGACTTCCACGATGATGACGATGAAGAAATGATTGCCAAAACCGTGCAGCCTGTGGACATTGTGTATGAAAAGGACATGCTGGCACAAGCATATGAGCTGAGTGGGTATTGTCTGGGTTGCTTTTGCTGTGGCTTTCAGCTGATGCCATTTGGTTGCAGGGTAAAAACAGCTCGTTTGACCATTGTGGCAGAGGGACAACTTAGTACTCATGAAGTCTAGCCTTGCTTAATTTTTTCAGTGCAATTTGAATTTGGATTTTCAAAATGGAACAGATTTTTATTTACTTCTTTATTTGTTGGGTTTGTAAGCCAGCCAATTCTTGGCAGTACACAATGTAACTTCACAGTAGCCTAACTCAAATAATATGTGAAGTTTTCTGCTTATCTAATAAGGTTCATGAACATGTGGGAAATCAGACTGTGACATGAGTTTGGCACTTACTACCTCCAGCCTTGTTAACTTGTAGGGTTGTTTCTGTTCTACCCCCTGAATTAGTCACAGACCCTTCTTTCTAGCTGAAATATTTAACCCCAGACCCCAAATGGGATAGAGATTTTGCAACATGACTCCCCAGATCTCTTGA